TTGGGCTTAATCCTCAGCCTCCCAAGTAGTTGGGGCTGCAGGCGCTCACCACAATGCCTGGCTATTTTTTTTGTTATAATTGTCATTGTTGTTTAGCAGGTCTGGGACGGGTCAGAACCCACCAGCCCTGGTGTATATGGCCAGTGCCCTAACCACTGAGCTATGGGTGCCAAATCTTTTATTTTAGTTTTAATTGCTCTAACACTGAGGCCCCTAAATGCTGGCCTGTTAGGAGCTGCCCCTCCATCTCCCCACCCAACATACATCAGTGGAAAAATTGTCTTCCATAAAACTTAGGAACTGGGGCTGCACAGCAGGACGTGAGTAGTACAGAATCCAGGGAAGCAGCTTCACCTGTATTTATTTACTGTTGCCCCTCATTGCTGGCATCACTGCCTGAGCTCCATCCTCCCCCCACCTCACTGACCCCCATCTGTGGAAAAACTTTCTTCCATGGAATTGGTCCCTGGCACCAAAAAGGTTGGGGACTGGTGCTTTAACAGATAACCATTTGTTCAAAACAATAACAACAATGTATTCAGTGATAATGACCATCCTAGTGTGGACACAATCTGCACATGAATGGAGCTGTCCCCATGTGTGAGCCCAGCAGCAGGGCTCTAGTCCCCAAGGACGATGAATGCAGAACCGTACATCCCTCCAGGAAACCGAGTGGCCTCTTTGTGTCAAATGATCTTCACTGGATCCCTTCTGTCCTGGCGGAGAAGTGACTTATCTTAACTGGACTTGACAATTATTTCAGTCATGGACTTGTGTTTTCTGCTTCCAGAACTTCAACCAGAGCCTTGTTTGAGTATTTATTCTATTGATACAAGATAAAATGTACACCATGGAATACTATGCAGCCATAAAGAAAGATGGAGACTTTATGTCCTTCATGTTCACATGGATGGAGCTGGAAAACGTTCTTCTTAGCAAAGTATCACAGGAATGGAAGAAAAAGTATCCAATGTACACACACCTATTACGAAATTAATTTAAACCTTTTTATATGAAAGCTATAACCTAATAACAACCTAAGGATATGGGGAGGGGAGAGGGAGGGGGAGAGGGGGGAGGGAGAGGGATTCGAGGGTTCACTTCTGTGGTTCATCTTGCAAGGGTAGAAGTGAATCTTTCTATGAGTAGAATATGAATGTTTTGACATAATAACTAAGAAAGTTACATGAAGGCTATGTTAACCAGTTTGATGGAAGTGTCTTGGATTGTGTGTGAAAACACCACACTGTACCCCCAAAGTGCATCAATGTACACAGTTACCATTCAAAAAAAAAAAAAAAGATAAAATGTACCATAACATTGAACCAAAGGACCCACTTTACAGGAAAGCGTGAAGTATGCAGCACGTCATACAGGCATACGACCTTGAACCCACTGATGCACTGTGCTCACAGAGCTATGGAAAAGCCTGTTGAGCATGTCCCTGAGGGCCCGGCTCTGACATGACTGCCAGCGAGGATGGGGTGCCAGCACTGAAGGATGCAGCAGTTATCAATGACCATTCCGTGCTGGGAGATCTCATAGGTAGAACACAGGAGTCCTGAACCCCAGGGGTGGAAGCGGTTCCTACCATAACTCCCAGTCATCTGCTGTTTAATTTGTGTGCTTTCCATGCCCACAGCTTTGGACTCTGTGCATTTAGATATTTTGGCCCCAGAGTGGCAATACTCCCACCAGTGGGCACCGTGAGATTCCTATGAAATTTCAAACCGTGTCCCACCCAATTATGATGGGTTTCTCACATTTGAGAGAGCAACAGTCAGGAAAAGGAATTACCACCTGTGATCACAGGCAAAATAAGGAGAGGTGGAGCGCTGGGAGGGCACGGGAAGAGCGTGTCTCTCGGTACACCTTCACTCAAGTTTGAGGGTCAAGGGCACGCATGCAGCAGCTATAGCCTGAGAGGGCATGATGCTGGGGACTCAGAGCTCTCAGGGCTGAGGCTCTGGGTCATTCCACCTAGTCAGCTGCCTGTGTCAGCAGAGGTGCCAGCTGAGGGGGAAGGGGAATCTCGATCAGATAATCGTGGGATTTGATGAGCACCGTTTGTGCCCCGGAGACCAGCTATGGTGGCAGATGCTGTGGTTTCTGTAGTTTGTCCCCCTAACTTTCCTTTCAGAAGTTGCCCTCAGGAAGACAGGTTCGTTAGGTTCCTGAATCAGCTTCTCCCAGAGCTTTGTTACAAAGCCAATGCATCTAAGTGGTGCAAGGGGTGGACTGTGCTGGTAGGTGGGGAGCACTGCTCAGATTCTGCTGCCTGCACCACAGTCCCCTGGCACTGCACTTTAGAACCGAAGCATTCATGCCCCCAAGTGCTGGGAATGTGGACACCAGGCCCTTTGTAGCTGGCTTCTCCTTCTGATTGCCAAAGAGTGTCAAAAGTCATTTTCCCTTCCTGGGGACAGCTCATTCCCAGTGACTGTCAGTCTGTGAAAAGTTTGAAAGGCTCACCTTCCTTGTCCTAATTTGGGACATCTCCTTGGGGCCAGCCATCCCAGCTCCAGACCTCCCCATGGATCAGCTGCGACTTTAGTCATAACTTGGTCAAGGCCAGCTGCTTTCTCTGCCCATCCTACTTTGTTCCCTCCGCCACCCGAGTGATCTGAAAAGCACCTCAAATTAACCCTGCACACTTGTCTGCTTCCCACAGAAACCCCCCCTGCAGCAAGCTTGAGAGTTGGACCTACCTTTTCCTATAGCTTCTTATTCTAAAGATAACAAACATATCCTTAGGGGGAAAGTTCCCTTTAAGATCCTCTGCTTATTTGAGGCACTAACTTTCCTAATTATGTATTAGTACAACCTTGATATTGTCCTATTTTCACCCTTAATCCTGTGATCTGCTTTACATCTGTCACATAGACCTCTAGAAAGTAAGAGCCCTTCCATGAGGTCCCTACATACCCCGGGGGGTTCTTTAATGTTTCCTGCTTCTTTATTGGGACCACTTTTGATAGCCCCGTGCAAATTACATTTGTAGTCCTTCCCCACCTTTCTTGCTGTTTCTTCACGCCAGTTTAAGCTTGGTTGGTTGATTCTCCTCTCCTTCTTGCCCATCTCCTTCTCCAGAGCATGAACCAATTGAGAAGCAGAAGAATGCACCTTTAAGTGTATTAAAAGGTGAGTGGATTCAGAAATATCCTGGAGCCCCCTTTCCTTGTTTGGGATGGACTTTTGCCCTCAGGGCGCCCCTTTGAGACTCTGCTGCAGACCCCATGGTGTGTGGCCAGCCTGACCCTGGGCTTCAGCTCAGATTCCTGGATTTCTTTTCTATCCTCTGCTGGGCCAGGAGCCAAGCCTGAGTCAAGTCCAGTTGGCTGACACTGCTTCTCCTAGTTTCTGCCAACTTTCTTTGTTTCTGGTATTTCTACTTTAATTCACATGTCAAACCTTGGGCCAAGAATGGCTAACCGGATGCCAGGCACTCTTGCTTCCCCCAATGCCCCGCTCCTCCCCTTGCCATCATGCTGACGCTTGCCCACCTTGCACCTGTTCCTACTACAACGGCACCTGAGTCCACACTAATACCTGAACCTTCTTTATATCTGCAGTGTGGCTGAGTTCCCCTGCCCTGTGCCAGCCACCTTGGCAAAATCCTCTCTCACAGCAAATGCTTATATACCCGTCACTTCAGCTAGTACCACTGTTTTGACAAATTAGTCCCTGTTAACGAGAATTATACCCACAGTTGTAGTTTCCCTGATTACATCCCCCACCCCCCAGGGATAACATTGCTGGCAAAGCAAGTGAAAATTTTTCCAGAATTTGAGCATTTAATAGGACTTTGTCTGAGGATTTAATTCAGGTTTTGTTGTAACCAAAATATCTTGCCTCTTTGGTAGTTGTGTTGCTCATTGTCAAAACATCAGTCAGCCTCTATCTCAGCAGACAGATTTATATTATGTTCTCACAATTATGATATTTAAATTTTCTCTGACTTCAGGTTTGTAGATATTCAAAACAGATACTCAAAAGATATTCAATATCTTTTTATTTCAGAGCAAGGAAAGCTTAAATTGTAACAGAAAACCAGTGGTATTAGCACACACACAAGCCATAGTGAAACAGTTACTGGGATTTAAAATAGAGAATGTCTTATATGCCAGATCTTCTGACATCAATGACATAACAGAGGTGAAAGGGGGCAAGTACCAACAGCCGAGATGTTCTAAGAATTAGCAGAGAGATAATGGTTTGTAATTAAGCAGTAATAAGATGACTAAGATTATGTTATTGTAGCTAACAACTAAAATGTTAGTTGATTTTTATGATACTAAGATATTTGCTACAATTTTCTAAACTAAGATCTTACATTAGTAAATATTTACCAAATTTAGTTAGCACAATCTCTTAAGCAAATTTTACTTTGTTTGGGCCATTATAAATTATTTGTATTCTGTAGCCCAGGTATACATATTGGCTTTGGGTAACTCCCAGTAGATAATTGGCACACAAATGAAGAATGACTTGCCTGTACGAAGCCAGAGAATAGTCTAAATTGTACAATTTACCACCACCTAAGGCAAATCTAAACTTTGGAACAGTATCTGTCTTGAGCTTAAGTTTGTAAATGGCACACTGCTTTCCTTGAAGGAAACCGGTTGTGGAGACGGGTTATGGCAGATCCCATCTCCTATCAGGCTGGAGAAATGACTGGAATTTAAGGCATATATAAAGCAAAAAAAAAAGAAAGAAAGAAAGAAAAAAGAGGGGGGAGGACCAAAGAAGTGACAGGGACAGTTACTTTCCTGGGAGAAAGAAGCTGTCCCACGTCCAGTTTAATGGCTGTCACTACAAGTCCCAGGCGCAGCAAATGGTGGTTGGACTCAAGCTGCAGGGCCCTTTGTTTAACTTTCTGTGCTCCGGGTCTGCTCTTGAGAATTAAAAGCCAAAAATTCACGTTACGGGCATCTTTCATGTTCTGTAATTGAGTTAGGGAGTTTCAAATAGGTCTAGGCAAATAAAGGGGGAAGAAAAGGGACAGATGGTCATTGTCCTCTAAGTTCAGGTTTCCCAAAAAGGAAGCAGGGGAACCCAGCGAGTCTCTTTCACCTCCTGACTTTAATAAAGGTTGGTCTTCTTCATGATCCGAAGGAACTCCTCCTCGTTCACCTCGCCGTCTCCGTCCCGATCCGCCTCGTCGATCATCTCCTGCAGCTCCTCGTCCGTGAGGTTCTCGCCCAGCTCGTTGGCCACCCGCTTCAGGTTCTTGAACGAGATCTTCCCGGTTTCGTCGTCATCGAAGAGCTTGAACGCCTTCAGGATTTCTTCTTTGGTGTCCTTCTCGGCCATCTTCTGCGTCATCACGGCCAGGAAGTCGTTGAAGCTGATCTTCCCGGTGCCCTCCTTGTCCACGTCGGAGATCATCTTCTTCAACTCCTCCTTGCGCGGTTCGAAGCCCAGCGCCCTCATGGCCACCTTCAGTTCCTTCACGTCGATGGTCCCGCTGCCGTCCGAGTCGAAGAGGTCAAACGCTTCCCGGACCTCTTGCTTCTGCTCCTCCGTGAGTTCAGGCTTAGGACCCGCCTTTCTCTTCTGGCTGGTGGAGGCCGTGTTTGGCTTTTTAAAGCCAGACGCCATCGTCCTGCCGCGCTGTCCAGTAACGGCGCCGCCGCTGCAGTCACCGCGCACGCGCGCGGGCGCCCCCTCCTGGAACCCAAGGTCACGGCCACGGGCGGCAGCTCCTAGCCGCTGGTCCTGGGAGCTTGACCTTGCTCGGTCAGCGCGCCTGCGAGATTGTATTTACCCTAACATCCGCAGTTCCCTCTGGTTATTACCCACTTTCCACGAGGAGCTGCCTGAGCTGGCAAGAACAGCCCAAGCCTTGTTTGTCTTGTGTAATTCCCTGGCTCTCACTATCCTTTCAGGCTCTTTGTTAGCATCCATAGGGGCGGTTTTAAGGTTTATTTGAAGGGTCTTCCTCTCTCCTTTTCCATAGTGATTAAAAAGCCCTTTTGACCCGGGCCCGGTGGATCACGCCTGTAATCCTAGTGCTCGGGGAGCCGAGTCGAATGGATTGCCTGACCAGGCGTTGGAGACCAAGACCGACCTCAGCAAGAGCTAGACCCGGTCTCTACTAAAAATAGGGAAACTAGTGCAGCGTTGTGGCGGGCGCC